CTCTCTCTCTCTCTCTCTCTCTTTTAGGCTTTTGCGGTCACCGAAATTGTATGCGCACCTGAAGGCACGGGGGATACCTGTGAGTTTTAGGCCCAATGAACTGTTTCCTTTCCCACCAAATTCCCAATCATCGAATCAACAAACTAGTTATTATTGTTCTTCTTTCACTACGAGGCCTACCGCACAGTTCTTGTGCGGTGCGTGATTTAACCTGCGTTAGAAGTTGACGAATAGAAAAAAGGACCTCAAGCAACCTAGCAACTTTGCTCCTCATACTGTAATTATGGAAAAGACGAACTCACGGCACTACGTTGTTGAAAAAAAAACAGGGGCATCGCTTCTGACACACCCAAATTTTTCCGTTATTTACACGATTTCCTTCCAACGCTGGTCGAAGCTGTGTTTGTCGTACTTTGCGACACGTTATTCTGTGACTTCAGTTCCCCAATCAAAAAATTAAACGCGTTTCTTTATTTTTATTCGTGATTTTAATATGACACGTGTTTTCTTCGTAGATATTAAAAAAAAATAAGACAATCGTACGGGTTTGGAAACGGACTTTGATATTTATGTACCCAGTGTCACTGTTAGTTGTTGACTTCTGTCATAGAGTGGTTCGAGTGCTGCTTGTGATACAAGTCCTTTTTGCACGCACGCCTAGTCTTAAACGTGTCTGTACACAAGTACACAGAGAGCTTACCATCAGTGTTGCCGTCAGACACACGCATATTTAGCTTTTCTTGCGGTATTCCTTCAATTCGTCTATGTGACCCGCCGCCGAGGCTATCATTTGGCGTCATACAACAAAACGCAACCAGTGTGTTTCCTCTCCCAGTCCAATTGGTGAAGCACCACTTCTGTACAACTTTGGACATTCCCAATTGCACGACGGGAATCCGCGAATTGAATCTCGGAGCGTTTAGCTGAAATGCATGACGCTCAGCGGCGTCTAGGTTCAAACCTCAGGTCTTCTTGCTTTTAACTCGGACCGTAGCTGACTGATGACGCATAATTAGTCAGAAGTGGCTTTCCCAGTTTTTTT